ATTTCCCAAGGGATGGGAAATGTTGATTCCTTTCCCATGTTTGGTAATGCCGGGAAAGTGATCCGGAAATATCACTTTATTTCCTTTCCCATGTTTGTTTTGAGTAGGAATGGAAAACAAAATTTGTTTAGTTTCCCAATTGTACCCCTATTAAAAAAAAAAAGAATACCAATAATTGTTGGATAAAAATTGTAATTATGAATTGTTAGTAAGGACAAATTAGTCAAAAAAAATTGTATTTAATGCTAGTTTTACTTTCCCATGGGAAGGGAAAGTGAAACCTAAGGAGGAAGGAAGGATTCACTTTCCCTCCTACTTTCCCATGTGCTAGGAATCGCTTTCCCATGCCTGACTTACCAAACATGGGAAAGGAATTGATTTCCCATGCCCAAGATTCCTTTCCCATGAACCAAACGCAGCCTTATGGTAATCACTTTTCTTGTGATATCTTTGTACATTGAGGGGGTTTTTTTTTTTTGGACTAACTACATTTTACTCCATCAAGGTTTAGATGTCGTATCGAAATGGGACTTCAGGTTTCAATTTCATCAAGTTGATACCTAATGTTTCAAAATCTGACCAATTCACACTTCCCCTTAGATTGACCATCTGATCAAACGTTTAATGCTACTGTGGCAACTACAGGACCCACCACAGATCCTAACATGCCAGTTCAACTAGTCCATGTTAAGGGTATTTCCGAAAAGAAAAAGAAACAATAAAAATAATTTCAAAATAGTATTTTTAAAACCAAAAAACAAAAAAAAAAATTCCTAGCCCTAGCAACCCTCTCTCTCCCTCCCCCAGCCACTCTTCATAAACCCTCCACAAACACCCCTTTTTTTTTTTATTTTATTATTTTATTTTTATTTTTTACAAATTCCAACTAAATTTTTTTTTTTTTGGGCTTAGAAAAGAGAGGTGCTTTGAAGTTGGGCTTAGGGAAATATTAGTTATGGAACTAGAAATTTAGCATTGGACTTTTTAAAAAATTAAAAAATACACACCCCGTCTGGTCTGCTTTTGTAAGGTGTGAAATCGGCACTATAATCGATTTGAACTTGTCTAGTCCGGTTCAGTGCCGATTTGTTGACTTTTTAGTCAACACGGTTTTTTTCTAGTTTTTCCGTCCAGTGCGGCTCGGTGTTCTGTTTCCCCCCCCCCCCCCC